GCCCCTGCCCCGCCACCAACCCGCCTCCATTCCGCCACAGGCCAGTGTGGCGAAGCTGTTATGCGCGGGGTGGCCCCATGGCGAAGGTGAGGCCTTGCTCACAGTCAGACCACCTGTGTTCCAGTCCTGACTCTACTTCTCACTGTGTGGCAGGTTATTAAACCTCCCCAGGCTGGTTTTCTCACCTGTGAGGCAGGGATGAGAGTACTTAGCTCATACAGGTGACAGGATACCTAAAGAGGCCATGCGCTGAATGGCCCTGGCCCCTTGCTAGGGGCCCCCTCCCTCCCCTTGACCTTTTGCTTCTTCCCCCAGGTGTGGATGGCTCCATATTCAAGACTCTGCCTGAGGACACAGAACAGGCTTTGCTACCTCGCTGCAGGCATGTGGGGGACCGAGGGAGGCCCTGTGTCTGCCACTACGGCCTGAGCCTGGCCTGGTACCCCTGCATGCTCAAGTACTGCCACAGCCGGGACCGGCCAGCGCCCTACAAGTGCGGCATCCGCAGCTGCCAGAAGAGCTACAGCTTCGCCTTCTACATGCCACAGAGGCAGCTGTGTCTCTGGGATGAGGGCCCCTAGCGAGGCTGGGGTGAGGGTTCAGCACTCCTCCCCCAACTCCAGAGAGCCCTTACTTCTCTCCCTGCCCCGCTCCGCTCCGCTCCCCTAATCTTGGAGCCTCTGGCCCCATCCCTCATGACTGTGAAGAGGGCTGTGGCATTGCAGGGGTTAACTCGCGAAGGGGCTTCCACTCCCACCCTGTCTTCCTCAGGACAGAGGAGAAGGGGCTTCTCCACACTGCACCCCCTCCCCTCCCTAGTCCCCCTATTTCACTCAACCAAGATGTCATGGCCTGTGATTCTCCCATTTAACTCTGAAGGCTTGGACCTGAATGGTGTCTGCCTGTTATACCCACCCCCCCAAGCAGACCACCTGTGCCTTTCCCCAGACCCAGACCTGGCCGCAAGACCAGGCACCCCCTTTCCCCTCTAAACAGAAATGTGTTTGTAGGGTCTGGGACAGGGCAGGAGCATGAAGTATGAGGAAAACTTGAATTCCAGATTTTTAATGCAAAGTATTTATCATTTCTACCAGAAATTAAAGTTTCAATTTTTACTTGACTGACTTTTGGGCGATGCTGCCACCTGGTGTCAAAAGAAGTGTCCTGCATGTCCTCGGGGACCAGCACTAAGCTCGGCGGCCACCTGGTGGGGCGAGGGGGTGGGGTGCTCCGGGGAAGGTAGACAGACCTTCTGCACTTGGGAAGAGGAGACGCACATGGCCGGCAGGCCAGGCAGGAGGAGAGAGCATGAGATATATTAAGTCACGAGACAGGATGAAACTCCAGAACCAGATGTCCAGGGTTCAAATCCTGGTCTTGCTTCTCATTTGCTGTGCAGTCTTGGGTCAGGTTACTTACCTCTCTGCCTCAGGTCCCTCAGCTGTACAGGGAGCGCATACATGTCAGGTGCCCTGCACAGCGGTCACCGTGTCAGCGGCTGTCATATTAGCCCCTGCAGAGGGCGGCATTTCCATCTGTAACCCTGAGACAGCTAGTCCAGACCTTTCGAAGGCCTCCTCCCTTCGAAAGTATCTTCCAGTATAAGGGATGTAGCATGACATCTGGGCCCGGAAGCTGGAGGACTTCCAAGGAGGAGGGACCTACAAGCTGCATTTACTGGAGTTTCCTGGATGAGTCTCCGGGACGTGGGTTGAGGCTAGAGGACAGTAAGAATTTGGCAAGGTGGAGGAGACTGGGTCTCGGGGGCTGCAAAAGTCCCAGGGGTCTCCCAGAGCACCCAGGTCCTCAGGAAAGGGGGGACCAGGAGAGTCAGGGGAAAAGAGGCTTACAGGGCAGCCCCCCTTACTCTCCTTCCAAGCACCCCCAGGACAGGCTCCTGCTGCCCCTTGAGCCTGTGCAGGCTGGAGGGTTGTGGTAGGAGCCAGGCTCCCTTGGCCGTGGTCAAAGTTAGGGGGTCAGTGGGGAGACGTTTTCGGGTGGGCATTCCTCTTTCTGAACCTGTTTGCAAAGGCCAACTCCAGCGATGCTGTGGTGCAGGGGCGGGAGGTGTTCCCCCCCAGGCCTTTTCCTCCTTCCCCTCCTGCACAATGTGGGGCCCCGATCCTAAGCCCTAACCCCCCTCCGGGTGAGAGAGGTAGTTACTTGGCCGAAGGCACTGCCTACTCTATGTGTCTGCTTTTAATGCTGGGGGTAGAGTCCCCAAGTCATATACCTTCCCTGGTTGCTTTCAGATAGCTGAAGTCACATCTATAAATCTGAGACTAAAGTATTGCTTTTGTAAATAGTAATATTTTCAAGACTTAGAGTGTTTTTCCTATCTTTCTTTGGAGTGACTAACACCTCCAAGCCTGCCTGTCCCCTGCAGTAAGGGGGCCTTCGGACACCCCCTTCTTGGTCTCAGGTCAGGTCATGGGGATGAGAGTTAAGATCCCCTGAGACTTGGGATCCTGCACACAGACAATATCTATATGCGCCATCACCCTAGACCACCCTCCTGACCCAGCCCTGGGCGTCACAGTGCCCCAGCCCCACCATCGCAGTCCAGTCCCTGCCCACAGGTTTCAGGGCATCAGAATCCTCAGGAGCTTGTTGAGTACATGCAGGTTGTCAGGTATTTGAGAAACAAGGTAAGGCGCTCCTGTCCTCCAGGGCCTCTGGGCTGCGCAAACATTCAAGGGTGACCTACCCCAGCGGGATTGCCCCAGCTTGGATTGGGCCTTCCTGTCCTTCCTGTGGGTTTTCTGCAGGCTCCTCTCCCTGCAGTTCTGTCAGCCAAGGGAAGTCTTAGGTGGGAGAACCATTGGGCCCCACAGTGGGGCACCTCTGCCCCGGGCCTTCACCAGACCTGTGCGTGCTGGGTAGAGTGCCGAGGATTCTGGCAAAAGTAGGGCAAGGACTACTCTCAAGAAGCAAAGCTTGACACTAGCAATGCATGTGATGCCTGTGAGGAGTGTGGGTGCCAACATAGTCCCAGCTCTATGTTCCCCGAGTGGACCACCCCTGATACAAGACCCCAGTTGCCTAATCTGCTAAGAGAGAGGGCCTCACTAGATCACCTCTAATGTCTTCCCTGTCACTGGCAATCAATGTGGGATTGTTGCCTGGCATTCGCCTCAGATTGCCATTTGGCTACTGAGAGACAATTGAATTGTTTATTGTGATTTGCTCTTACAAGCCATGCTGTAGAGCAGGGGTGGGGAACATCCATGGCCCAGGAAATCATTTGGTCTGGCCCTGCCAAGGCAACTGCAGGTGGGCCTCAAAATTCAATAAATTCAATGAAATGTTTGACCAAATATAGCAGGCTAATTTTTAAGTTGAGAATTCTGTAGGGCCCGCAAATGATGTTATAAATATCCAAATGGCCCTTGGCAGAAAAAAGGTTCCCCACCCCTGCTATAGATAAATGGTGAAAATGGAAATCTGAAATGGTCAGTATTTGGTAAATACCATCAAATCGCCCTCCAAGTGGGCCGTCCCAATTTATACTCACCAGCAGTGTAGGGAAGGCCCTGTTTCCCCACATTCCTGCTGCATCAGTAGGGGTTCTTCAGAGGAAGAAAGAGAGATTTTTAAGGAATTAGTTCATGCAGTTGTGGAGTCTGGCAAGTCCAAAATCCTGGCAGGCTGGCAGCTTAGGCAAAAGTTGATATTACAGTCTTGAGTCTGAAAGCTGTAGAACAGGCAGGCGAGCAGCTGTAAATTCAGCTAGGATCTCTGTTACAGTCTTCAGGCAGAATTCCTTCCTTTTCAAAACCTCAGTGTTGCCCTGGCCGGGTGGCTCAGCTAGCTGGAGCGCCGTCCCACACATCAAAAGGTTGTGGACTCAGTTCCCATTCAGGGCACAGACCTAGGTTGCAGGTTGGATCCCCAATCAGTGCATACAGAAGGCAGCCAATCGATGTGTTCCCCCCTCCCCCAAATCAATAAACATTCTCTGGTGAAGATTTTAAAAAGCCTTCATAGACACATCTAGACTGGTGCTGGGCCACCAAACAACTGGGCGCCACAGACTAGCCAAGCCGACACACAAAATTGACCACCACCTGCCATCACTGATGTTATCATGAAGTGCCATTTGACCGTGAGAAGTAATAAAGTATTATAGGGTTTATTCTCAGATATCAACTTTTTAAAAAAATGTATCTTTATTGATTTCAGAGGTAGGGAGAAGGAGAGATAGAAATGTCAGTGATGAGTCATTGATCGGCTGCCTCCCGCACACCCCTCGCTGGGGATCAAGCCCAAAACCTGGGAACGTGCGTTGACCTGGAATCAAACCACAATCTGCTGGATCCTAGGTCGATGCTCAACCACTGAGTCGTGCCAGCCGGGCTCAGCTATCAACCATGGACTATAGCCCCATAACAGCCGTGCTGCTTGATCCCTGCTTGACCCCGCCCCTGCCCCAGGTCACCCTCCTCTGCCTGTGCCTGTCGACACCAGCCTCTGATGGGCCCCACCTGGGCTCCCTCACCTCTGGCTCTGCCAGTGCAAAGCATCAGAGACCCGAGGGTGGGATGAGAGGGACTTCGGGGCGTGTGCCCTGCTCCTTGTTTCTTCAGCGCTGTACCCCTGGCACTAGCTCCCTTCCCCCATGCTCCAGACCTCCTTTCCGGCCTGGACCACCGTTCCTCCCCTCACCTCTTCACCTTAGCTCCTCAGTGCCACTGCTCTTGGTCCCCTTGGCCCTGCTGGCCCCTCTGTAAATAAGGCTGCCTTCATTAAAGGCACTTGAGTGACTGTTTTTTCTGCCAGAGACCCTGGTTGATGATAGCAGTAGTCCCAGTTGGGGACCCAGAAGCATGAGCAATGGGAAAGAAGAGGGCCAAAGTGGGGTGGAAAGCTGTCTCCCTTGGCAGGGACTCAGTGCACACCTCCCAGGGAGAAGGCCCCCACCTTAGGGGGCTTCCAGTCAGCAAGGGAAAGAAGGCAAATCATAAGCTCCCTCAGGGCCCCGCCTGTGGGGTCTTGAGGAGGGTGGTGCCCACATCCCCTGAGGTGACAGGCTCCCTGCCTGGGCCGCTCCACTGTCATAATGGGAGGGGTCTGATGAAGTGACAATGTATTCACGCCTCCTCCCCTCCTACATCACAGGAAGCAGAAACATCTCTATCCAACCTCCATCCACGGCTGTCTTTTATTTATTTTTATTTTTAAAAAATACATCTTTATTGATTTCAGAGACAGAAAGGGAGAGGGAAAGAGAGAGATAGAAACACCAATGATGAGAGAGTCATTGGTCAGCTGCCTCCTGCACGGCCCCGACTGGGGATGGAGCCCACAATCCGGCATGTGCCCCGACGGGGAATCAAACAGCCATCTCCTGGATCCTAGGTCGACGCTCAACTGCTGAGCCACCCCAGCCAGGCCCATCTGTCTTTTAGAATTCCCTCCTGTCATAATGGTGGGGGTGCTGTCCCTTCCTCCCAACCCTGACCCCGGCTCTGAACCCTGCCTGGCCCCTCTCCCTTCCTCTCTTCCTCTTCTCTCTTTCCTGCCTTCTTCCCATCAGTCCTGAAAGTATTTAAATCTTTCCCATCTAAAAACATGAGTAAAAAGGAGCTCAAGCACCTCTCTCATTTTCCTATTTGTCCCTGTTCCTTCACAGGGAAGCTTCTTGCTGGAGTCCTCCACCCCCCAGCAACCCAACCCTGCGATCAGTAACAAGTCGTCCGCTACTGAAACTGGCCAACTATTTCCACCTAAGTTAGGGCAGATTCAACGTCCTCCCTGAACAAATAGCATGGTCCTCACTCACTCACGTCTTCTGCCTCCTGAGCTCTGAGACCTGCCACGGTCCTGCCGGGAGCCGCATGTTCACACGCCCTCCTGGCAGATGCCGTTCTTGCCGGCACTGCCTACGCTCACTCCCAACTCCTCCCTCGGGGGACCTCTGCTTAGATGGCCTTTCCTCTAAGGAGCCTTTCCCGAAGTCCATGGCCAGATTCAAGGAAGGCGTGCCCCACAGCAGGCCCCAGAGACCCTCGGTCTGCCTGTTAGAGCGCACACCACACACGAGGGACTTGCCTTTTCACTGGTCCACAAGCATTGCCCACTGTGAGGCCCCTGGGGGTAGGACACTGTCTGGTTTCCATTCCAT